CCCCCCCCCGGCATACCCCCCCCCCCGCCCCCCCCCCCCGCTGTCCTCTGCTCTTTTTCCTCCTCCCCCAGCACTGGGTACCCAGCCCCCAGCCTTTTGAATCTAATTGTTTATTAAAAAGGACCATGTGCTTCGGGAAGCCTCTGACACAGTCTCGAACCAGGTCGGGTTGCCCCTCCCAATTCCAGAACACCTGCAGCCCTCAGGGATCATATTCTCAGACATCATAGCTGTGCACCTCAGGCTGTTCCCAGACCAAGAGCACTTCACACCAGGAATTTCAGGAGTCCTTTTGTGGACTTCAGTAAAATTGCACGTAGTCAATGATGGGGAACAGAATGACACCAGATGATATTTCCCCCTCAAGATGTAGCTTTCATGGGGCATGATCTGGGTTCCACTTATTAGAATGCCTTTAGTTTCTTCTGTTTTCTCTACAGTGAGGATTACAGAACCCTTTCCAGTGAGTTCCCAGGGCTGACCTGTGTTGCTTTACAACAACAGGCATTAAGTGCTGCCCAGTGGCTCTGCTCTATCAGCAGCTAGCTCAAAGTCTCCTTCAGTCGAGCTTCAGAGTTAACTCAAGGCAGCACTCCTTTCTTTGTTGTCTTCAGGAGAAAGCCAGATGGTTTCTGGGCCACACTGCTTCAGTCTAGCTCTCAGGTATTTACTGCCCCAGAATCCCCAAGTCTTCCCTTTTACATTTGTAAGAGGAAATAAAAGACAAACAAAATGGCATCTCACATTGAAATGAACAGAAAGTCTAGAAATAGCAATCTTGCGTTGCTTCTCTGTCTTCAGTGAATACATCTATCTGATGGGAATGGTAAACAACGGTGTTTCATAAGGAGGATGAGGCCTGGGTGGGAGTTTTGGAAACTGAATCAAACAAAGACAGACCCAAAGAATGCTGCATCCTGCTCAAATATCTCTTTCAGTTCCTGCCATTCCAATCCCTTAGTATATTTCCCCACAGTCAAATTTGGAAGTGAGCCCTGAGCTTCTTGGCTCAGACCTCCGGGTAGTGTCTGATTCCTTGCAGATATACTGCCACCTGACGGTCACCCATGCAGTCTCCTGTGCATGGCAGTGGGTCAGGCTGACCCTAGGATAATGGAGGGTACTCTACACACACACACACACACACACACACACACACACACACACACCTGCCCCAGTGACGAAACACAGAGCAAACTTCTCTGTCACAGAAAGCTAGTTCCAAGTGAAGGAGTTCAGTCTGTTGTGGAAACTCTTCTTAATAAACACAGGTGGATTCTGAGCTTAGATTTGCAGTTTCATTGCTGAGAAATTCTGGGCAACTCATAGTTAATGCCCATTCCCCCTATTTCCTGTCTGGGGTCCCAGACATTTGGAGCCAGGAATCCTTTCAGGACCCAGCAAGAGTTTTAGTGGCTGCACAAGGAGGAGAAAAGGATCCCAGTATTTATCAGGACATTAGGTTCCTAGAGAACTTTCACCTGTACCTAAGTAGGTAAATTCCAAGGGGGGTGTATGATTAAAGTGGGAAGGACATGATCATAAGGAACAAAAATGTGATCTGAAAGAAAGCTTAGTCTGTGTGACTCAGACACAGGCTGTCTGACCATGTGAACTCTGCTCATTTTGTAGACAGGAGGTTAACAACACATGGGAGATTGTTGGGGATCAGGTGTCCTGAGGAGCCCAAAGAAAGGTGTGTTGGAATCAGGCTCTTAGTCACAGCCCCAGGCACTTTGTTCACTGCTGTGACTTGCTGTGATTCCTTGCTGAGTTGCCTTTCATATTCTGGAAATGTTTTCTATGGCATACAATACACATCATGCATGGTGTACACACGTGGCTACAATGTGCTTCTTCTCCACGCCACAGCTCCATTTCTAGCAATGACAAGCTATGAGAAGTACCATGAGGAAGGGGTAAGTGCCACAGCATTCCTGCCTCTCTTTGTCTCTATTGGAGACAATAGAGACCCTGTGATCCCTTTTAAACCCATAATTTGAAACATTTTAGCTTTCACTTTAGTGCCAAACAGGAATCTCCAGAGC